TGATGAGATGTACAGGGAGTTTGCTCCATCCTTTTCCCCATGGATACAGAGTAGGATCATCCACTCTGTGGGCTGTGACACACTGGGGGTCTGTTTTAGCTCTTTGCTGAGGGATCAGGACTGACCAAGGATTTGTCCCTTTTTCAGATGTCACTGCAAGCAGTACGTCTCTGCTGAGGAGCTCTGTGACCAGCTGTGCCTGCTGAGAGCCCCACGCATCTCCCTGGCCTTTGGCACCCACAGGGAGCTGCTGCTGAGGGTGGGCGAGGGCCAAGTGAGGGTAGGTGTGGAGGGAGGGATTGCTGTCTAAATGTGCACGTCTGGGAGAGCCCAGAAATCACCACGGGGTGAAGGAACTCCTCCAGGGGAGGTTCAGCTTGCTGCATTACAGAGAAACAACAATTCCCAAATTACAGAGGAAAAACTCCTTTTACAGCTGCACTGAAAGTTGACCACAAACCAGGGTTGATTAAATTGAGTTCTCTCTGCTTCTCACAGGAGGTTTCAAATGTTCTGGGCCCTGATGAGCACCTACAGAGCAGCCAAAGGGTGCATTTGGTTCTGTTCAGCCCCCAGGGAGTGCTGGGTTTCATTGTCTCCAGCACAGAAGTTCTGGATGCATTTCTCATGGGTAAGACTTGAGAGAGAACCCAAATTCCAGCACACCAAGCCATCCATTTCCTCCCATGGTGGCACAGCCACTGGACAGTGGCACAGCCATTTCCTCCCATGTTGGCATGGAGGAAATTCATTATTAGATGCTCCAGACTATTTAGAAAACAGGGAAATTCTTGCTCTGTCTGGGAGTAAGCAGTGGGGAATTCACTGGCTGCATGGGTAACTCCCTGGGAAGGGCTCAGATAGAGATTGCAGGATTTTGGATTTCCAAGGAATTAGAAGGAAACTCCACTTAGAGGAAAATCTGTCAGCAGGTGCATGGATTTGGCTTTGTGAGCTGAAACTGCCCACAGATACAAAATAAATAATTCTCCCTTGCCGAGGGTTGGGTGTTATCACATGCTGCTCACTTTACAGGGCTCATTCTGTTTTTTTCTCTTGCCTGTGGCAGGAGATTTTTCCTCAGATCAGCTGCTGCAGAAAGGGCCCAGAGCCCAGAGGAGCTCCCCCAGAGAGAGCCAGGCCTTGCCCCTCATCCCTAACCCAGTGGTGTGTCTGGAAGCAGGGGACACGATCCTCTTCCAGCTCAGCATCAATTCCCAGGGTGAGTCTGGCTGGGGCTGACACATTTGTGTGTCCAGACCTGTTCAGAGCAGTGGTTCCACACTGGGCAGCCTGCATGGATCCATCCTGGGCACCCTGCATGGATCCATCCCTGCTCCTCCTGTCTCCCAGAACTGCAGTATGATCTCTGCCAGGGCCTTACCTGCAGGTTTTCAATTTTTTGAAATTCTGAATTTCTATAGAGTGAGATAAAATTGATCCTGTGTTATACAGCTGTGGTGGTGTTCACAGGGGTCTCAGGAAGAGGGAAGAGATGAGGATCTGACTCCATATTTAGAAGGCTTGATTTATTATTTTATGATATATATTATATTCAAACTGTACTAAAAGAATAGAAGAAAGAATTTCATCAGAAGGCTAGCAAGAATAGAATAGAAAGAATGATAACAAAGGCTTGTGCCTCAGACAGAGAGTCCAAGCCAGCTGACTGTGATTGGCCATTAATTAAAAACAAGCACATGAGACCAATCACAGACCCACCTGTTGCATTCCACAGCAGCAGATAACCATTGTTTACATTTTGTTCCTGAGGCCTCCCAGCTTCTCAGGAGAAAAAAATCTGAAGGAAGCGATTTTTCATCAAACATGTCTGTGACAGACAGCACAAATCTTTGTGGGGCAGTAATTAAACTCAATTAAATGAGCTGACTATAGAAATGAGCTGCTGTAAAAGCAGTTCCACAGCTCTTTGCCAGCCCAGTGCCAGCTTTCCCAGCTGAGGTGGCTCAGAGCTGCTGTCCCTGTGCTGCCCCATCCCAGAGCGTGCCTCCAGCCATTACCCCGTGTACCAGAAGCAGCATCTCTACAACAACAACCCCGGCTGGGATTTCGGACCCTTCCGAAGGCTGGACCACCTGATCCAGGAGACCCAGCTCAACATCTCCTGGTAATACCTGCTGTGGGCAACCTGAGAGTGAGTTTTTGACAGAATCAGCAGGTCTTGGGGGTGAAAACACCAAATTTTGCTGTGTTCAACCATCTTCACAGATGGAGCCTGAAGGAGGCTTGGATCAGCTCCCTGGTCAGAGAGAGAAGCTAGATAAGATTTCCCAGAATCAGCCTGGGAAGCTTTAGGGAGAGGAAGAATTCTGAACAATCTGCACCTGCTGTTTTGTAATAAGCTGTTTTGCCCATAAGGTTGTTTACCAAAGGGTGGTTTCTTAATTAGCCTATGGTGTTTTAATTAAAGGACCAATCAGGTCCACCTCTAGTGAAGCAGAGTATAAAATCAATGGGTTTATTAATAAAGGGGAATTAGCCTTGTGTGAATGTCTTGAGAGTTTATGTCATTTATTATCCAGACCTGACCATTGTGGTAACCCTTCCTCACTTCTCCCTTCCAGGTTTGCCCATGTGTTCCTGGAGCCTGGCACATTTGTTTTCAGGGACAGCTCCGTTCAGGAACGCTTCCTGATTGTGACAGTGAAGGAGGCCAGCGTGAGCTGCGACCCCAGGGACGCCTCCTTCCAGCCCTCCTCCCTGTTCCAGCTGGCCAGACACGGCATTTTGAAGCAGCAGCATCATCTGAACCTGGCTCCCAACTGGGCTGCTATCACAGGTCCAGCCAAAGCTCTGAGATACCTTCAACCTCCATCCTCACCCATGACCTTTCTTGTCCTTTTTAAGTTGTTTAAACAAGAATTTTCTTTGGAAGTGCCACCAAAACACTGCTCTGTCAGCTTTAATTCCTTGCTGCCGAGGAGCTTCCCAAATTTCATTTCTGTCTGGCCAAGGGCCTGCCTGTGCAGGAGCTGAGCTGGGGACAGAGGGAAGGAGCAGTCGTGCTCATCCCCACGTCCTGTTTGAAGAGTTCAGGTAACCCAGGCCTTTGTTTTCCTTGGCTGGGAAGCAGAAAATGACAGTGTATTTCCATGATAAACCCAGCTGAAATGAAATCATCATTCCCAAGCTGACTGAAAGCTAAACACGAGGTCAGGTAAGGTCTGTGCTCCAAGGCAGGTGTGGGTGTGAGAGCTGTGCACACACCAATCCTTCAGGGGGAGGCCAGGAAACAACAGAAATGAAAGTGTGGTGTGCAAGCATGATCCTGACTCTATAAAATATATATTGTTTATATTTATAGTCATATTTATATTTATCATTATATTCCTATTTATATTATATTTAGATTTGCATTTATAATATATTTTACATACTATATAATCTAATTATCTATTATATATTATATATAATATATATAAAGTTTATAATATACATAGAGCATATAATGTATATAAAGCATAATATATCATAATAGAATAGAATATGTTATATATATTTTAATATATTTTATATTTTTAAATATATTTAATCTATACAATACATAGATATTATACATATAAATACACTCAGTAATATATAATATAAAATATATAATATATAATATATTATTTAATATTATATAATAATATATAATATTATATAATAATATATATTTTATCTATAAAATTTATAAACTAGATCCTTGAATCCTGAAAACACCTCCTAATCCACCTGCCCCAGCTTCTCCCAGAAGAAGCAGAAGTGAAATGAGTAGAGAATGGTGCTGAATATTTTTTTGTGTTTCTCTCTTCTTGCCCTCCCTCCTGTGTTCCTCAGCAATCCTTTTCATCCTGGGCTTCCTCGTGCTGGTGCTCACCACCCTGGCCATCGTGTTCCAGCCTGCTGGCCCCAAAATCAGCCCCCTGCAGGGCTGGAAGCCACGCTGGAGGAGCCTGGGGGAGCCACACATCCCACCAGAGTACATCCTCCTTAAGGACAGGTAAACACCAACCTCTGCAGGCTCCTACAAAAAATCTACCCAAGAAACCCATCCTCTGCTTGAGCTGGGGTCTGATCTTCCTGAGAAAAATGAGATGTTCTTCATGTTCTTTGCCATTTTCCCCAGCGTAGAGTTCTATGAGATGCTTGGTCCTCGTGGATCTGGACAAGATGCTGGCTCTGGAGAGAAAGGAGCAGTGCCCGGTGCAGGTGAAGGGCTGGGCCAGTCCCAGGTGTTCTCCCATTGGTTTTTTCCCCACTTCCTCCCCATTTTCTTCTCTCAGGTGCAATATTTTGACACCTGCTGACCCAGCATGTCCTGCACTCTCAGGAGGCCCCACAGGCACTTTGCTGTGTGCACTTCCACAGGCACACACACTTCCACCTGGGTTTATTCCAGGGATTTAACCCCTGTCATGGGGATGGGTTGGAGATTTTTCCCTCAAGAGTAGAGAGAGTGAATCCCCAGCCTTGGCAAGCCCTTTAAAACAGCAGCGAGTTCAGGTGACAGGTGAAGAAAATAAAGATTTACAAGTGTTTTCCTTGGCTTCGTTTGCTGGTTATTCTGTTCCCTGGAGGCACGGGACTCCTCCTTTGCTTTCTGGGAATGAGTGGGAATTTCGGGACGCTGACAGGGAGCAGAGCCCAGCAGATGGCAGCAGGTGTTGATGCTGGGACAGCTCCGGAGCAGCTCTGCCAGCATCCCGGCAGATTTCTGGACAATTTAGGAGCTGATAGTAACGCTCTGTCATCCTCCCCCTCGCTGGGGAACGAGACCTTCTCTCACATCTCCTGCCTCATCCTCCTCCCTCACAGAACACAAAATTCCCCTGGCCAGGCAACGTATTGTAGGGGAAATAAACTGAAATAACCTCATGTCCAGTGTTTGAGCGTGATCCTTTCCCTGGTGTTTCAGAGCACAGCTTCACCCCCAGGCTCCTGGAGGATTTCAGTGTCCGGACCCTCTATGACAAGCTGGAGGATCAGAATTTGCACTTGGCCTCTCAGCTGTCAAAGCACAGGATGGACGTGCTGGTGTTCCACAGGGGGATCAGCCAGAGGATCCAGAGCCTCATGGTCAGTGGGGAGAGGCATTCGAGGGAAGGGAGCCTTGGAACCATGAAAATCTTAAGATAAATTGTTGCCTGAAGGGAAAGTTCATCCAAGGCTGGGTATTACTCCTTTCAGTAGTTTACTTTGGTATAAAATAAATTTTTTATATGGTTTTATTGATGCCTCAGGTTTAGCTTTTATACTTTTCAGATTCTGTGCTGCTTTAGTGTGTGGGTNACAGCTGGGCATGTGAGTCACCACAGAACCACACACAACTGCCACAGAGCCACCACAGAGCCACACACAACTGCCACAGAGCCACCACAGGACCACCACAGAGCCACCACAGAACTGCCACAGAGCCACCACAGAACCACTGCACAAAACCACCACACAACCAGCACAGAAACATCACAGAACCAGCACACAGCCACCACACAACCACCACAGAGCCACCACAGAAACACCACACAACCACCACAGAACTGCCACAGAGCCATCACAGAGTCACCACAGAACCAGCACAGAACCACCATGCAGCCACCATAGAGCCACCACAGAAACACCACATAACCACCACAGAACTGCCACAGAGCCACCACAGAACCACTACACAACAACCCCAGAACCACCACACAACCACCACACGACCATCACAGGACCAGCACAGAACTACCACAGAGCCACTACAGAACCACCACACAGCCACCACACAACCACCACAAAGCCACCAGGCTGAAGGGAACTTCACCATCACTGAGTCCAGCCCAGCACTGTGTTGTGGTTTAGGGCAAATCTGGGAGAAAACTTTTAAAGGGTTTTTTTTTTTTTTTATATAGAGAGCAAATGTAAGGAAAAGAAAAAGCACAGATGAGGGAATTTCTCTGCTTCAGTGTCATAGTTTGATATGGGAGGAATTTAGGGAAGTGATGCAAAAGCTTTTTGTGTAACTGACAGTCTGTTGAACCACAGGCACCTTTCAGGGAGTTGTAGAGTGATGAGGTCACCCCTGAGTCTCCTTTTCTCCAAGCTAAATCTGGTGTGTCAAAATCATACTCTCATCCTTTCAAGCATTTTCCTGGAGCTGAGCTTTGGGGAGGGGTGTAGTGCTCTGTCACAGGGCTGGAGGTGGTCTCTGCTAACCAAGCACTGCTAGTGGGGTGTCACATTTTGGCCTTGAAGGGCAGGCACGGTGCTGATGAGATGTACAGGGAGTTTGCTCCATCCTTTTCCCCATGGATACAGAGTAGGATCATCCACTCTGTGGGCTGTGACACACTGGGGGTCTGTTTTAGCTCTTTGCTGAGGGATCAGGACTGACCAAGGATTTGTCCCTTTTTCAGATGTCACTGCAAGCAGTACGTCTCTGCTGAGGAGCTCTGTGACCAGCTGTGCCTGCTGAGAGCCCCACGCATCTCCCTGGCCTTTGGCACCCACAGGGAGCTGCTGCTGAGGGTGGGCGAGGGCCAAGTGAGGGTAGGTGTGGAGGGAGGGATTGCTGTCTAAATGTGCACGTCTGGGAGAGCCCAGAAATCACCACGGGGTGAAGGAACTCCTCCAGGGGAGGTTCAGCTTGCTGCATTACAGAGAAACAACAATTCCCAAATTACAGAGGAAAAACTCCTTTTACAGCTGCACTGAAAGTTGACCACAAACCAGGGTTGATTAAATTGAGTTCTCTCTGCTTCTCACAGGAGGTTTCAAATGTTCTGGGCCCTGATGAGCACCTACAGAGCAGCCAAAGGGTGCATTTGGTTCTGTTCAGCCCCCAGGGAGTGCTGGGTTTCATTGTCTCCAGCACAGAAGTTCTGGATGCATTTCTCATGGGTAAGACTTGAGAGAGAACCCAAATTCCAGCACACCAAGCCATCCATTTCCTCCCATGGTGGCACAGCCACTGGACAGTGGCACAGCCATTTCCTCCCATGTTGGCATGGAGGAAATTCATTATTAGATGCTCCAGACTATTTAGAAAACAGGGAAATTCTTGCTCTGTCTGGGAGTAAGCAGTGGGGAATTCACTGGCTGCATGGGTAACTCCCTGGGAAGGGCTCAGATAGAGATTGCAGGATTTTGGATTTCCAAGGAATTAGAAGGAAACTCCACTTAGAGGAAAATCTGTCAGCAGGTGCATGGATTTGGCTTTGTGAGCTGAAACTGCCCACAGATACAAAATAAATAATTCTCCCTTGCCGAGGGTTGGGTGTTATCACATGCTGCTCACTTTACAGGGCTCATTCTGTTTTTTTCTCTTGCCTGTGGCAGGAGATTTTTCCTCAGATCAGCTGCTGCAGAAAGGGCCCAGAGCCCAGAGGAGCTCCCCCAGAGAGAGCCAGGCCTTGCCCCTCATCCCTAACCCAGTGGTGTGTCTGGAAGCAGGGGACACGATCCTCTTCCAGCTCAGCATCAATTCCCAGGGTGAGTCTGGCTGGGGCTGACACATTTGTGTGTCCAGACCTGTTCAGAGCAGTGGTTCCACACTGGGCAGCCTGCATGGATCCATCCTGGGCACCCTGCATGGATCCATCCCTGCTCCTCCTGTCTCCCAGAACTGCAGTATGATCTCTGCCAGGGCCTTACCTGCAGGTTTTCAATTTTTTGAAATTCTGAATTTCTATAGAGTGAGATAAAATTGATCCTGTGTTACACAGCTGTGGTGGTGTTCACAGGGGTCTCAGGAGGAGGGAAGAGATGAGGATCTGACTCCATATTTAGAAGGCTTGATTTATTATTTTATGATATATATTATATTCAAGCTGTACTAAAAGAATAGAAGAAAGGATTTCATCAGAAGGCTAGCAAGAATAGAAAAGAATGATAACAAAGGCTTGTGCCTCAGACAGAGTCCGAGCCAGCTGACTGTGATTGGCCATTAATTAGAAACAACCACATGAGACCAATCCCAGATGCACCTGTTGCATTCCACAGCAGCAGATAACCATTGTTTACATTTTGTTCCTGAGGCCTCTCAGCTTCTCAGGAGAAAAAAATCTGAAGGAAGCGATTTTTCATCAAACATGCCTGTGACANATCTCCATCCACCCTGACCATCCTACCCCCCAGCTGCCTGGCCTGTGGCTCAGCTCTGCCCTGGAAAAGGAGCACAGGCTCCAGCAGTGTCACTGAAATGAGCAGTGGGATTTGATAAAGAGTCCTGAGCACAGGAGCTGCTCCTTCCCAGCCAGCACGGTTGTTCCAGGCTGTATTCCCTCTCTAAATCCAACCTCCTCTCCCAGGTGCCACCAGCTGTACCTGCCATGGGCTCAACAGGGCTTTCCAGCAGTCAGATGCCTCCTGCATCTGCCGGGCAGGTTATGTTTACTATGATGAGAGAGGAAAGAAAGACTCTGACAGCAACAGCGACCAGGATTGCCGACCTCAGGTAAAATGAGTCTCCAAACCAAAATTGTTGTGTGATGTGCAGGAAAAGGGGAGTGTTCAGGCCTTAACCTAAGCCAAGCAAATATCTCAGATGCTTTATTGGCCTTTTGTTGTAGGAGGTTTTCTTTTCCAGGATCTTGTGAGGTTAAATTTAAATTCCCAAGGGATGGAAGTAAAGGATCCTTCCATGCCAGGGCAGTGGGAGCAGCACAGTGTTTCATGTGGATGACAGATCCAGGAACTTAAACCTCATTTAATATGAAGTTCTTCTTTAGAGCTGTCATGGGCAGGGAGACACTAAAACCAATCCCTTGTGAACCATGCAGTGAAGAGGCGAGCCAAACTCACCCTTCCTGCCCATGCAGAAGACAAGAAAAAGAAATCACATAATCTAAAAACTCAGAGGTCCCAGCTCTAACTCATTCAAAATTCCTTCAAAAATCCCCATAGTGTGTTTTCTTGATGGTTTTCTGGTTGGATTGCCTTTATGTGGAATGTTGGATTGTCTTTACATGGAATGTTGGATTGCCTTTTTGTGGAGTTTTGGGTCGCCTTTTTGTGGAATGTTGGG